TCCATATTTTAGCTATTGTAAATAGTGTTACAGTGAACTTAGGAGTGCAAACATCCTTTTGAATTTGTTTTTGTGTCCTTTGGGTAGATTCCTAGGAGTGGAATTGCTGGGTCATATGGTAAATCTACTTTTAGTAATTTGAGGGTTTTCTGGATGTCTTTCTGTGGTGACAGTTTACATTCAGTTTACATTCCCACTAGCAGTGTAAAAAGGTTCCTTTTTTTTTTTTTTAAAGATTTATTTATTTGTGCATACAGAACTGGGGTACAGGCCAGAGGCTCAGGGGCGGTGAGAAGCTTCACCATAGGCAGAGTGGGGAGCAGAACAGGCAGATCAATGAAGTATGCTGCTGAGAGGAGCAGTGGGCGGGTCAGGAGAGGTCTGCCACACCATGTGGAAGTGGCTTTAGCTTGTCAGTGCTGTGCTTTAACCCGCTGCACCACCAGGGAGGGCCAAAAAAGGTTCCTTTTTTAAAAAAAAAAAAAGATTTATTTATGCATACAAGAACTGGCTAGATATGCAGGGGTTGGTTCACCAGAAACAGAGTAGGAAGCAGAAGAGGCAGAATGATGAAGTACATTGCCGAGGGGAGTAGCAGGCAAGGCAGAAATCTGCCATGCCATGTGGGTCACCTTCCTGGCTAGGGATCAGACTTGTGCTTCAATGTCTGCAGATAGCTTCATAGTGCTGCACTTTAACCCATTGCACCACCAGGGAGGGCCCTAAAAGGGTTTCTTTTTGTCACCATTTGTTGTTAGTTTTTTAATGTGGGCCATTCTTATTGATGTGGGGTGATAGCATTGTGGTTTTGATTTGCAATGTCCTGATTATAACTGATGTTGAACATTTTTTCATGTGCCTCTTGGCCATCTGCATTTCTTCTTTGGAAAAGTGTTTAGCTCTGCTACATCTTGGTTATTGTCTCTTGTTCTATTGAAGCTTTTTAATTTTTTTTTTTGTGTGTGGAATGAGTCTGTAGAGTGTTTTGTCTATGGTTTCTTCTATGTATTGTATGGTTTCAGGTATTACATTCAGGTGTTTAATCCATTTTGAGTTGATTTCTGTGTATGGTGTGAGGTAGTAATCTAGTTTTATTCTTTTTCATCCAACAGTCCAGTTTTCTTGCCACCATTTATTGAAGACACCGTCCTTGTTGCAGTACATATTCTTTGTTACCTTGTCATAGATTAGTGATCAATATATGTGTGGCTTTATATCTGGGTTTTCAGCTTGGTCTGTGTGTCTGTTTTTATTCCAGTACCATACTGCTTTAATCATTATATCTTTGTAGTATAGTTTGAAGCCTGGGCGTGTTAAGACCTCCAATTTTTTTTTTGTTTTTCTAGTCAGGAGCACTTTGGCTAGTCAAGTTTTTTGTGGTTCCATATTTATTTCATCAACATGTGTTCTATTTCTTTGAAGAGTGCCATTAAGATTTTTATTGGAATTGCATTGAATCAATAAATTGCTGTAGATAGAATGGCCATTTTGATAATGTTAGTTCTGCCATTCCATGAGTAGGGACTATCTTTCCATTTCTTCACATCTTCTATTTCTTCTTTCTTTTTATCATATCTTCTGTTTCTTTTAGCAATGTTTTGTAGTTTTCTTTGTATAGGTCATTCACCTCCTTTGTCAGTTTTACTCCGATGTATTTAATTTTTTTTTTTAACTATAATTGTGAGTGGAATGGTTTTCTTGATTTCTTCAGATAATATATTTTGTGTTTAGGAAAGCTACTGATTTTTGTGTGTTGATTTTGTGTCCTGTTACTTTACTAAACTGGTTTATTGTTTTGATTGGTTTTTCTGTGGAATTTTTGTGGTTCTCTCTATATGTTAACATATTGTCCACAAATAGTGGTGACTTTACTTCTTCCTTCCCTATTTGGATTCCTTGTATGTTTTCAACTTGCCTAACTGCTTTAGCTAGGACTGCCTGGTGTTATAATTTTATACTGCTATCATCAGTGTATTTGGTAAGTACTTCATAAGTATTCATCTAATAAATGAATTCATATCAGTGTGATTCATGAACATTACCTGTTTACAAAGACAATATCACAGCTAAGATTGGAAATATGTAACTATGTAATTTGTCTTTACAAGCTATTATACCTCTTGCTTTATCAATAAATTCTTGCAATAGTCATTTGCAAGTTTGGCAGACAATAAAGTTAGCAAATGATGTTCTTAATTCCAGGAGGCAAGTAGCTGTAATACTAGTACATACCAATTTAATTTTCAATACAATTACCTTCTTCTGTATAACTTACAAGGATCTGCTTATGAAATCTACAGAATTATTTGCTGTTGTATATTATAAATCGTGATTGTATATACAATACAAAAGAAATGAGCGGGAAACAAATTATATATATTATCATAACAATCTATACTATGTATAGATGAAATAAATGACACTCAAATGTTTCCCCTTAAGATATTTAGTCTATACTCAAAAAGTTACTAACTGAATCTATTAATTTCGCTTATATGTTACCACTTTCTCACTGTTAACTGTGGTTGAAAGTTTCCATAGCAAAAAGACAGAAAAATGAGGGAAAACATACAGAACAAGAGTCATTTAGATATGAAAGTTAAGCCAAATAGTATGAGACAATAAAGATTATAAAGTACAAGATAAGGTTATAAGGAAAAGATACTTAATACTCAACAAATAAATATTAATTTTTTAGTTACATTCATTTATTATATAGCAGATTTAGTATTTTCTGATTGACTTGATTAACTTGTATCTTAACTCTTAAACCATTGTAAAACTAACATTACTCTGCTTTTCAAATAATTTATTTTAAGTATGTGCTATTAAATAATGTGATATCACATTTTGTCATTAAGTTTTAAATGATAGTCACTGAAAAACAGAAAATATGTTAAGTCCTGTTTACTGTCTTTCAGCATCACTCCTGATTTTCTCAGACCAGAGAGAATTATATATTATTCTACAAGATTATAATGTTGATAAAAGCTATTTCTAAATGCTTTTTAGAATCCTCCCAAATAAATGTTTACCTCAGATAAAGATAATTCCTTGGTATGGAATATTGAAACTGCTCTCCTTGAAAAGAATCAGGCGCTTTTACAGATAGTTTTTCTTGAAAGCAATGATTTTGTTGTCCATCGTTCTGAAAACCTGGTTTTATAGATTCTGAAAAACCCTGATTTCCCCACTTACTTAAGTGATCTCTAAAATTGCACAAAGATTAAATCCTTTTGTCTAACACTGTATTGCCTGTTAAATTGCACACCAATGATTTTTTGCTATTACATGCTTTTTCATACAACTCTGTAAATAGATTGAGGCTGTTACTGTATAGATAAGGTTACATAGCTGTAAGTGGCGGTGCTGGGATTCAAACCCTAATACTTTTGAACTCCAAAGCCCAAATTGTTAATCTTTGCTCCTGTTCTTTCATTGACTGCTGAGATGCTATTCTTGGGTTTTCTTCCCACCTGTTTTCTCTGTCTGAATCTCCATGATTCCATTTCCTTGTACTCACCCCCCCCCCTTTAATTTTGATGTTTCACAGAAGATCCTCTTCTCATCTATATATCCTTCTAATCACATGTTCTCTGTTGTTTCAGCCAACACTTGTGTGAAATCAAATCATAATTTGTCTGTCTGCACTTGGTCTTACTCTGGAACCTGTGTTTCCAGTTTACTTTTCCCTAATATTTCTCAGTTGTCCCTTTATTTTTATTCTCTATGTCAAGGAATACCATTACTGTACACATTGTTGCCTGAGTTAGACGCTTAGAAATCGTTGACTCCTCCCTCTTCCCACTGCCACCTGAGTCACCTAAAAAGCAGTCTCATCACATCAAATGATTAAACCACATAAGTGACTCCTTAAAGCTTCTATATAAAAGTGAAATTATGTAGCGTGCCACACAGATCCCTCCTGTGTCATGGCATCCCTACCTTTAAAGTAACTTTTTAGTCTTCTCACATTGTATTTGTTTCAAATATTGAAAATTTATCTGAGCTCTGTATCGGGAAATTAAATGTAGGCTTAGTTTTGTGTAACGTACATCTGGTTAGAGCGTTAACAAGGGAACAATATCCCTACTGAGAATGCTATGGTAGCAACATCCCTAATTGGCCAGAAATCCCCTTTGGGTTACAGTAACTTTGCCTGGGAGAGTTGGGACAGGTGTGATCCTCTGGATTCTCACTGTTGCCAAACTCTGCAGATCTTGGTTAAATTTATTAGAGAAAAGGTATTTTTTTATAAACTCATTGAGCACTCTGTTTGTTAATTCAGGGACTTTCTAAATTTCAGCCAGTATCCCTCTTTAGCTTTAGGCACTTTTTTATTGCATTTTTAACATTCTGTAAATATTTGTGATTTAAAATTTTTTTTTACATTTAAACATGCTGTGTGGAAATTGACTTGCCTGTTTATTGTAATTGCCTTGGTGTTTTCAGTTCAGAAATAATTATTTCTCCAGGAAATTTATGATTAAGGGCCTGCTGAGTGTCTGAATTGTTGGTTCATCTATATAACTTTGTGAAAACTTTATAAACACTTTGCTTCGTGTAATTATTACAAAATCAATCTAAAATACATTTTTAAAAGCATTTATTTGGGCATTTAGTTTTTTCAACAATTGTTTCATTATGAAACCATCTGCATTCATACCTGATGGAAGTTATAACCCTGAAGTTTTTTAAATGCGTGTGCCTACATATATGCCCTTTGTCATTCTAAAATGAAATCTTTATTGTGTTTGCTAGTGAAGAGATAGTCTTGCTGAAACTTTCAACATATTTTTTAAATTAGCAGAAATAAGTGTGGCACATCATGCTCTTTGTTTCTGTTTTTGTGAAGAAAAATCATCTTCTCCCCCCTACCTCCAAGGAAAGTGATAGACCTATTAAATCTAGATTTTATTTAGAAACTTAGCAGATTTTCCATACCGTGTTCCTGTTTATTTCTATTTAGCTCTTAGACTATTCACTTAATTTTATCTTAGGTGATGCAAAAACTTTTTGGGCGGAGCTGGAAGATGATGGAAAAGTAGATTTCATATTTGAACAAGTGCAAAATGTGCTACAATCACTGAAACAAAAGATCAAAGATGGATCTGCCACAAATAAAGGTATGAATCTATAAAATCTTCCAGTGGCTAAACATTATCCACCATCAACACAGTGTATTCTATTTCCAGTTGTTTATTTTAAAAGTCAAATAATTTGTTTCCTAAGAATCTGTCATCTGGTTGGTTGCAAAACAAGATTTTTATATGAAAACTTCCTTCATTCCATAAGGACATATGTTTTCTTTTTTGATTTAAATTGGACATGATTGTCAAGCAAAATTTCCTATAGACTATTACTTATTTTCCCCTAGATTACTTTTAATTTATTTTTTAAAATATTTATTCATACATGAACTGGGGTACAAGCCAGAGATGCAGGGTTGAGGGGAAGGTGAGCGGATTCACGAAAGACAGAGTGGGCAGCAGAACAGGCAGATCTACTGATATACACTGCTGAGGGGAGCTGCTTTTGAGACAGGAGAGGTCTGCCACACCATGTGGCTTACCTCCCTGGCCAGGGATCAAACTTGTGCTGCAGTGGCTGAGGGTAGCTTCATAATGCTGTTCCTTTTATGCCACCAAGAAGGTACTTTTAATACTTTTTGAATCTTTGAATCTTCTTTTGAAGATCTTAGTCTGTGATACACTTGTCCAAAAATTTAGTACTCCTTTTAAGATATATCTAGATTTGAATCCATTCCACTCCTCACTGAATGACATGGAATAAATAGCTTAATCTCTTAGTCTCAGTTTCTTTGTCTCATGCAGATGATCTAATGAATCTTTCAAAGAAATTGTAGAGGTTAAATGAGATAAAGTATGTAAATTTTTAGCACAGTAGCTGGCACTGTGAATAAAGGTAATGCTTCTCTAGATTGTTTTCATTCTTTATTTTTTTTCCTTAACAGAATATATTCAAGCAATGATTCTAGTGAATGAAGCAGCTATAAGTAACAATTCAACACTGATAAAGGGTATGTACCTTTTTAATTCCAATCTAGAGTGTTCTCTGGTATTTTCTTGATTCATATCAGGCTAGGGTTGATTATGTCAGGTTTAACTGAAAGTAGTTTCAAATAAATGTTAAATCTATAAGTTATTATATCAGTTTCTCAGTTAAATGAAAAATACTAGCCATCCAGACATAAGAAATGCAACTCTACTAAAATCTCCTCAGGAAAGAATGAGCAATCTGTCTTTTTTGAAAAACCATCTAAGAAGTACAGATAGAATTCTGAGACTCCATACTACTGTAAACCTGCTTTCATAAAGAAGAAGATAATCTGATGAAAAGTATTTTAATTTCCACATTTTTATTAGATAATGAAGTCTTCCAGCTATAAACAGATTGATTTTAGAAGGAACTGTTCAGAGAGGATACACCAGCACTAGAAAAAACAAAATTAAAAATCTGTCAGAATCACTACCCTATACATCTTAGTCTTTCACTAATTTGTTAACGTGTTAGGGAAATATATTTACTAGGTTTTAATTGATGGCGCTATAGCAAATTGTAATAATTTTAACAGTCATTACTTGGAGCAGTAAGGTTTTAATTTTCTGAAAATAAAGGTTAGCATTATTAGCCTATTTTAAAGAAAGCTTTTATTATCAAAGGTATTTTCAACTTCAGTAGCTAATGTATGTTTTTTTCAGTCAGCCTTTCATAGTACCCTTCAGTAGCATTTGGGATCATAGACCAATTTAGCAAAAGAGCCTTTTTAATGCAGGCAGTGGTTAAGAGGAACTAATTCTAAATGTTTTTGTTCTTTCTAAAACAATCTTACTTCCTATTGAAAAAAAAAAGTAGTAATTTCAGAAATAGAAATACTGAATTTTGATAAATATTTTAATATATATCATTTGAAATGTAATGTTTTGTCAAAATGTAAGTGAATGTCAGTGAAACAGCAGTGTTTATAAATAATTGGAGAGTTGTGTAACTGACACTGTTGGTAAATTCAAGCATTAATAACTTTCTAGTAGTAAAGTTTTGTATTAGTATTTACTTAAAAAGAATACTGAGAATGGAGAAAAAAAAAGGACTTGATTTTGAGGTCAAAATGAGCCATTCTAAATCCAGCCTGGACTCCCCATATACCACCTTTATTTCCTTTGCTTGTGTTTAAGTCTGTAAATATTTTCTGTGTCCCCAAAGGATTAGATAATGTTCGTTGGAAAGTAATTTATTTCATGTTTTTTATCAATCATTAGTAATTATTATTAACTGTTAATATTTCCTCAGTAATTAATTATAAGGTTGTTTTTCAGTGAATGTCCTAGCTGTGCTTGTATACATTTGTTTTATTCATAGTTATTAATATGAATTTATTGCACTGTGCCAAGAAATTAGCTGGGAAAAAGAAAAAATTATTAAATTTGTAATTTATAAAATTTATTTAATTTTGAATTAGCTACTATAGTTCTCATCAGTGTCAGATTTTGAACCTTTTTACCTTGAGAATTAAAAGAGGAATATTTGTTTTCCAGTTAACCAAGGAGTAGCCTAGAATTATAACTTATGTTATCCTTTTATTTTTTATAAGACCAGTCTTACTGAAGCACAAGGTAAGTGCAGAAAGATCCAGGTAAAGGAGAGATTAAAATTTACAAATGGAAAGACAAAAAGAGGTGCCCAAATACCCACGCTTCCCCCCCTCCCCCAAGCAGTAGAACAATCAGAAAACAAAGGCTATAGCAGCTTTTCATTTTGTAACCTCTTACAGAATCTTTAAGTGTTTCATTATTTTTTCATAAAATATAAGAGGAAGGAGGAATACTTAATGTTCACCTAATTCTGATGTCAGACCAAACTAAAGTTTTTGTAGTAGAAATCTCCTTTAAGTTGTTTATGGTATCCTACCTTGTTAATGTTTTTGAAAATAGTTATACCTTATTTTTTGGCTTAGTTGATATGTTTGCAGATTTAAGAGTTCCATATATTTCTTAACCAATAAAGATAGTATTTAAATAGAATAATGAATGATTTTTTACTTGGTGTACTTGTTACTCATGTTTTTTTTTTTTTTTTATGTAGATCATGTGTCTGTGGTCCAGAGTATACATGAAAACAAGTCAAATTCACTGCCCTCTGCATCATATAAAGACTGCTTTCCAGATGACTATATATATCTGTATGTATATATAAGTTAAATTTTTTTATGTTGACTCTTTTGCTCCCAGGTGAAGATTTACTCTTTCTAATTAATTGATATAAGAGTACATAGTATAGATTTTAAAAGGTTTTTTTTCCCATCACAAGCTTTAATAGCTATAAATTTTAGTATTTTATGTGGGGTTAAAGATTCATCAGTCTAGTTATAAGTCATTTATTTGTAACATTACTAGGTCATCAAGTCTTTTAGTAAAATTTAATCTTGTCTATTATTACAACACTGAATCTACTAAGTAGGTTACTTTTTTTAACTACAAAATTATTTTTCCTGTATTATTTCTTTTTATTTATTTATTTTTTAAAGATTTATTTATTTATATAGAACTGAGGTACAGGCCAGAAGTGCAAGGGCAGTGAGAGGCTTCTCCAGAGACAGAGTGGGGAGCAGAACATGCCGGCTGATGAAGTACACTGCTGAGGGAGCAGCATGTAGGTTAGGAGAGGTCTGCCATGCCATGTGGGTCATCTCCGGGGCTGGGGCTTGAACTCATGCTGAAGTGACTTTAGTTTCTCAGTGCTGTGCTTTAACCACTGTGCCTCCATGGAGGGCCCATATTTCCTTTTAAATAGAATATTGAGAGAAGTTAATAGTATTTCGTTCCGTGTCACTTTGGTTTATAAAATGCACAGTAGCTCTAAGTTTGTATAAGGAAGTTTCTGAAAATAGACAAACTTTTTCTTTTTGTATCACTGACTTTAGTAAAGATTCTGTCAATAACTGAATAAAAGGAAAAATGACACTTAGTCTTTATTTTTAGAAGGTAATGCCTGTACTAATCATTTGATCTAAGAATGCAAAGAATACATTTTAAAAGATTCTTTCCCATCAGAAGCTTTAATAAAAAGCTGTTAATTTTAGTGTTTTACATGTGTTTTACATAAGATTCATTAGCCCCAGAGTAGGTTATTTATTTGTTAATATCCCTAGCTAGGGAAAGTGTTTATGCTTAGGATAGGAAACAGAATTTTTTTTTTTTAAAGATTTATTTATTTGTGCATACAGAGCTGGGGTACAGGCCAGTGGCTCAGGGGCGGCGAGAGGCTTCACCAGAGACAGAGCAGAACAGGCAGATCTAGGAAGTACACTGCTGAGGGGAGCAGCGGGCGGGTCAGGAGAGGTCTGCCACGCCATGTGGTCACCTCCGGGGCAGGCGGGAATTGAACTCATGCGGAAGTGGCTTTAGCTTCTTAGGGCAGTGCTTTAACCCACTGCGCCACCAGAGAGGGCCAGGAAACAGAATTTAAAAAATAAAGTGTCCCTGGTAAGGAAGTTCTTAAATTGATTATCTTAATTGATTCCCCTTTTAGGTACATATTGTCAAGAAAAAAAATTTGTATTGAGCGTTTACAAGAGTTGCAGGGAGATAATCTCACATGATTTATATTTACAAATATTATAAATGTTAATTAATTTTAAGTCTAAGAGACTTATGAAACTTATTTTAAAAGGTCTTAGAGAAAACTTTTGTACTTCTAAAATTATTGAACCAATCATATAAGTAACTCAGAAAACATTTTTTCTGAAATTCTGAATTGATATATCGTTTAAGATTTGATTGCCTTTAAAACAAATTTAGTAATTTAAAATCACTAAAATAACATCATTTTCATATAAATTACCACCAAATAAAGTGTATTTCATCTTACATTTAAATACTGTATTTTTCAAAACTTGTTTTTAATTGAAGTACCATTGGTTTACATCATTCTTAATATTTTGCAAGTGTACATTCTCCCCTTCACTAGCATAATCTGTTGTGCTAGCTCCCTATCAGTTCTCACCCTTCCCAACAACCCCCCCCCACCACCATGACTCAGTTCCAGGGTCGGCTTTGAAAGGTTGTTTTAAAGTTTGTTTTGTTTCTCTATATTTCACATATAAGTGACACCAACTGATATTTGTCGTTCTTACTCTGGATTATTTCATTTAGCCTAATCCCTACCAGCCCCATCCATGTTGCTGCAAATGGCATACGTGTATTTTTCTTGATCACTGAGATAATTTCATTTTCCATATATACCACATCTTCTTAATTTGCTACCATGTTTCCATAGCTTGACCCTTGTAAATAGTGCTGAAATAAACATGGAAATACAGGTTTCCTTTTGAATGAGTGTTTTTATATTCTTTGGACAAAGAAGTGGAATTGCTAGGTTGTAAGATCAATCCATTTTTAATTTAAATTCCATAGGGATTGGACCAGTCTACATTTCTATCAACAATTCCTTTTTCTCCACTGCCTTTTCAGTGTTTCAGTGTTTCTGGTCTTTTTGATTTGGGCTATTCTTATTGGTATGAATGGTATCTCATTGTGATTTTAATTTGCATTTTTTTTATGATAAGTGATGAATATCTTTGCATATTCCTTTAGCCATCTGTATGTCTTTGGAGAAGTGCCTATTTAAGTTCCTCTGCTAATTGGGTTGGGTTATTTGTTTTATTTTTGTTGAGTTGTATGAGCTCTTTGTAAATCTTACCAGTCCCTTGTCAGATGGGTGGTATACAAATATTTCTCCTGTTCAATAGGATGTCTCTTTGTTTTAATTATAGTTTCTTTTGCTGTGCAGAAGTGTTTTAATTGATATAGTCCCAGTTGTTTATATTCTCTTTTGTTTTCTTTGCTGCTGTTCAAACATCACTGAAGCTTAAGTTGTGCAGTGTTTCCCTATATTTTCTTCTGTGTATTTTACAATTTCTGGCCTTACATTCACGTCTTTTCCGTGCATTCAAGTCTTTTATCCATTTAAAGTTGTGTGGCATAACATTTGTGTATGGCATGACATAAAAGCCTAGTTTTGTTCTTTTGTATACTAAATATGGTATTTTAAACCTAAATGAAAGAGTTAGTTTTTCCTGTTAAGCATCCCTTTGGTTTAAAGTTCATTATCTTAGCTTATCAGAATTTCCTTGCATTTTGAATCTTTCATTTTCTTTCCTTTATAGCTTTTTGTCATGTACAAAAATATTAAATAAACTTTCTAGTCTTTATTGTCATCGCTGACAATATTATTGGATAGGACAGGATCAAAGACAAACCTGACTACTCACCATTAGATAGCTTTTTTCATTGTTCTTCAGAAAGTACTGTTAACTGTGAATTGACTTATTCTACCATCATCCTAATTACATTTCTGTCACTCACAAGTTTGAGAAATCAATATTTGTTGCTATAGCATTCTATATCACTATGAAGCTTTATGAAACCTTATCCAAATGAAAATTATATTAATTTGTACTTTTCTCATCTAGTCTATATTTGAAATTCTAAGTTTTAAAAAAGGCATGTGCTTACAATGGAATGCTGTTCAACTCTAAAAAAGAACAAAATGTTGCCTTTTTAGCAATATAGAAGGAGCTCAAGGAATTATTTGAGTAACCCAAGTCAGAAATATACTAAAGATATTGTATGTTTTCATACTAGTGAGTAAAATAAGGAATCATAGCAAATAAGTTGACAAAACAAAATAATTAATGAACTGATATAAACAATGTGGTTTCTGTGATTAAGAAAGAGGAGGTGGAAATAATAGCCAAAGCAGTAAAATTTCAATAAAAGCTTCATGCTTGGTTGTTCTAGAAATTGTTTGAGATCAGTAAATTAAATAAGCTTTCTAGTCTTTATTATCGTAACTGAAAGCAGTATTGAACAGGACAAGATCAAAGACAAATCTGGCTAACTCACACTTAGATACCTCTATATTTCCTTTACTTTCTGATATGTCCTTTTTTCCCCTTTTTAAAAAAAAATGAGGCAGCTTTTTTCTCATTTCATATGTACTTGAGGTATTTCGAGTTTTACAAGACCATGAGATTTAATTTGTTTGAGCTTAAAATCTTAAACTAGCTAACATCCTTTTTTTTTTTGACTACCACGTATTTCAGTGTCTTTTCTTTTTTAGATCTTTGTCCAGTTTGGGAACAATATAAAGGCAAATTGTTTTGAGCTCTTCTCCATTATCAGTTAGCTTTGAGATACTTCTCTCATATGTTGACACCAGTATGTTACATTCATGATCATTCTCTTTTCCTTTTGCATTTACACTTTTTGAAAATCTGAGCTTCTCAGAGAATTATGTTGGTTTATCTCACTGTTCTTTCATCTCATTAGGATTACTTGTGATTGTGTAATCAGAAATTTATTTCCTGAACTTCAATTCTTGTGTTGTAATTCTACGCAGAAACTTTGCCTATGAGATCATACCTAACTTTGAGTTGAACTTTATATTTATAGGCTCTTTGTAGGTGAAGGAACATATTTAATTAGGCTTAAAATTTTCCTTTTTTGCAGTTAAGAATTCTAACACCACATTTTGTTCTTGACCAGAACTATGCTTAAATAATTCCTTTTGTATTTTCTCTACAGATCCTAAGTTTATTACTTGCTTTACTTTTAGTAGTTAAACCCCTAGGAGACCATAGATCTTAGAGGCAGACTGGCAAACTAAACTTAAATCATGTTCTTAACACACCTGAAAGATTTTACACTCTGTCAGTAGCAAAACTAAAGTGAAAAATTCTAGGTCTTTTGGGAAATTGATTTTCTGTATTTTATCCTTAAGTTGAACTGAGTTTCCCTCCATATAAGTGAACTATGACATAAGTGAATGCAAAATGAAATATTCTATTCGAATGGTAATTCTATTTACAAAGTTACCTACTTTTCTGATGTTAGGAAACCTTAATTTTTTCCCTTAGTCAGGTACTTTGGCTTGTCAGGTAAACACACCTTTTCAAGCCACCCTTAAATAGTGAAATTTATTAGAAATAGACAAGGCATTTAGTTTTGTAAAATATAAATGATGAAAGGGCCTTGCCCTGCTGCTAAAAGATAAGAATTTAAGCGGTCTGATGTTTCATATGACATGTACACAAATGTCCAAAAGGGATTGCTTTCAAATACACACATACATAATCATGTAGCTGTTCAAGAACATAAAATGTAACACAGCAGACTATAG